CGTGTCCGACACTCTGACACTCCAGCAATTTGGAGTGTCGGTGCAACATAGAACCCACATATGTGGAAGACGAATTGGATGACAGATGTTACACCAACGATCAAACATTTCTTATGGCGTACTACACATGCAAGTTTGGCCACGAATCTTAATCATTTCAAAATAAAATCATCCCATATGCCCTTCTGTCCAATTCGTCATTCTCAAGAAAAGTTGATTGGGCACCCACTATTATTATGCCCATGGGTCAACTTAATTTGATTTGGGAGCCCTCATAGCTACATATTCAATAAGCAAGGCATTACTACCTTTGATGGATGGCTTTTGAGCTATGTGAACAACGAGTTGCATTCGAAGGAGGACAAAAGGAGATTATTACATATTATTGTGGTGATGTGATGGACAATTTGGTAGAGCATGAGCTGGAATGGTTATCATGGGAGCTAATAGTGAGTTCATTATGGTAAAGTACTTTCCTTTCCAAGCAAAATTAACAATTATGGCTGAAGCAAAGGCAGTGTTAGAAAGCTGTAAGTGGGCAATTGAATTGAATCACTCCTATGTTTAGTTTGCATATTATTCCAAACATCTAGTAAGAGTATGAATGACAACATTCGCAGAGGAAGATGTAACATTTAACCCCATCTTTACACAAATTTGAGACTGCCATTCGCAGTTTGGTTATTAGAGTTGGTCATGGACTAGCAAGACAAACAATCAAGCGGTTGATAATGTGGCGTCGCTCACATTCTCGAGGTCGAGATCGAAAGTTTGGTTGTCCATACCTTCTACCTCTCTTGTGCACATTTTGAGTCGAGATTGCCTCCATTCCCCTCAATGAGTGTCATAACTTCTGACTATGACCACCATAACCTCTTCTGTTTGTAGTGTTGTTCTAGTTTTGTTGGGGTTATGTCTTGTTTTAGCTTTAAATTTCATTAATGTTGTATTATCTTTGTATTTCAGCTATGTGTTTATGCTCTCACCGTCAATGTTCGGAGGATGCTATTGTTATGTGGTTGTATTCCAGTTGGGTAGCTTTTGTTTATCAGTTACCTTTGTAAAAATAAAAATAAAAGTAAAATCAAGATTTCGAGCTATCCTATGGTTACGTAATTGCAGAGTTCCATGGATTCTTAGGGTTCTTGTAAGAAATTTTTTTATGAGATTGGTTCAATCAAGATTGTGTGCTACCTTTGCTTAATGTATTGCTTCCTCCTGCTTCCAACACAAGGTCTGATCGTTTAACATGGCACTGATTATGTATTTGGGTTTAAGATATGGGTTTTGATTTTTTTCTTGTTAATTTCATAGGCTCTCAGTAGGAGCTAGTAACAATGAGTGATTCATGTGTGGTATTAACCTGAGACGGTTATATATATGTGTGCGTGTGTGTCTTTCTTTTTCCTCAAAAATTACTAATGGTTCTAATGCCCATCAAGTTCCTCAACAATAAGCTATGAGGGGCCAGTTTGTTACGGAGGTAGGCATGCTCTGGCGGGTGATTGGATTGGTTTT